CTCCAACACCCTCCTGGGGAGAACAGCCTCTTTAGTTTCCTGCAAGGTCCTGTGTTTTTCTACCGCCTCCCATTCAAATCCCCCAGGGCCGCAGTCACATGCTTCTCCTTCTCCACCCCCTACTCCTGGTTTAACAGAAGTGTAGCTTGCTGTGATGTCCCAACTGGGAAACAACCCACGGGGAGTGCTGCAAACCAGGAGTTACTTCCAAAACACGATCCCAATCCTTAATCTGAAGTGGGTCTACAATCCTCGATTTGGAAGCAATTGCCGGCTTGCACTTATCCAAGTTTACCTAGTTTGTTGTATAGCCGTTGCGAACAAGGAAAAGGAGAAAGGAACTGATGCATGAAGATGAGGGAAGAAGTACATCAGTCCAACCTCCCAACCACAGGACAGAAAGATCACGAACATGACGTATGAGCTAAACCGCTGGATTTGCCTGGTTTTCTGGGTACAGCTCAAACCAGTGGTTGCAACCGATAAAGCCAGAAACAGCCTGGCCCTTTTTACTTTCCATCTTTGAATTCCCAACCTGTGGGTGAGGTTTGTCCTGTTAAACCACAAACAACACTGAGTTGTGTAGGTGCTATAAAACAAAAAAACACATTGCTGGAGAATGAGGGTGGATATGTCCTGACCTGGATAGCCCAGACTAGCCTGATCTCATCAGATCTTGGAAGCTGGGCAGGATTGGCTCTGGTCAGTACTTGGACGGGAGACCGCCATGGAAGTCTACGGGTGATACGCACAGCAGCCAACGGCAAACCACTCTGAACATCTGTTCCCTTGAAGACCCTTTGGGGTTGCCATAACTTGACAGCAAAAAAAAAGGTAGATGCAAGCGTATCCTCACATAAGGAGCTGCTGCCTACCCGGTCAGGCAAAGGGCTCAATACTGCCAGTTCAAAACAGCACAGCTACCACCTGAGATGCTTCTGGTGGAAGTGTTGGGACTAAATCCAAGGCCATCCCTGCATTCTCGAGCCACCGTCTGGCAGAAAACAGACGAGAGCTCAAGTCCTATATTTATCATGCCCTGCAAGTATTTCACCATCCGCTTAAAAGTCCTGCCTCTGAAGAAAAGGGCTCTTGTCTATGCAGACAACCCATTTGTCATTTATAAAGTCCTGTGATTACGATGTACTTAATTGCCTGGTAACATTTCAAAACTGTTGATTTTATCCCCCCACCCCAATCTGTGTTCTTTGTAACTGAAAGCTAAGCATAAATTGCGTTTTCTTGCTGGAATGTGGCAGGGA